CGGGGGGGGGGGGGGTAAGGGTAGAGGGTAGGGTGGGAACCATGTGGAGGGGAGCTATGGGGGGATAAAAGAGGAACAACTGTAATAATCTGAACAATAAAGATTTAATTAAAAAAAATAAAAATAAAACAAGGTGAAACACTGCCAATCCTTGAGATTCTGCTTCCTGGCAATTGTCAACAGTTTGGCTCAAATAAACGCACAAAAAGTCTTTAAAAAAAAAAAAAGAATCTTCTTTCTTCCCCTTTTTTCTTCTAGTATTTTTATTATTATTATTTTTTGTCTTTCTTTATCATTTATTATTCTTGTTCTCTTTTCCCTTTCCTAAGTCTCTTTCCTCTTGTGGTTGTTTTTGCTGTTGTCAGTTTATTTAGTATATTTTTGTTAGTTTTTTTTTTCTTGGTTGGTTTTGTTTTGTCCTATCAGTACCAGTACAACAACTCACATGATGTGGTCTGGGTTGAGCCTCACAGTTAGCCAGCCTGGGAATAGATCTCACTTAAGAATGCAACAACAGTCAAGACCCAATTACAACAGGAAAGCCCAAATAAGCCTCAAATTGGTCACTCCTAGAGTATCCAGCTCAGGAGTTCGAGGAGAACACACCAATGGGTACCACAGGACTTTTACTACAAAAGACCACCCCATGAAGACTGTGAGACAGATATATATAATACATAGAAACAAACACAAAGAGACAAATAAAATGGGGAGACAAAGAAAAAGTCCAATTAAAAAAAAAAGGAGGAAAAACCAAAAAAAGACCTAAATAAGGTGGACATAACCAATTTATCAAACACAAAGTTCACCGTAATGATTATAGACATGCTCAAGGAACTCTTGGAGAACTACAAGGAAATTACTGGTAACTACAAGGAACTTAATAGTAACTACATGAGCATGAAAAAAGACATAGACCCATAAATAAAAACTAGCCAGAGCCTGTCCAGCATGGCTCAGTGGTTGAGCATCAACCTATCAACACAGAGGTCATGGTTCAATTCTGGGATAGGGCATATGCCCGGGTTTTGAGCTTGATCCCGAGTGTGGGGTGTGCAGGAGGCAGCCAATCAATGATTCTCTCTCATCGATTTTTTAAAAATTCTTTATTGTTGAAAGTATTACATATGTTTCCCTTTCCCCGAGTGATCTCTCCCAGCCTGCCCCTGTCCCCCAGCACAGGCCTTCACACCCATATTGTCTGTGACCATTGGTTATGCTTGTATGCATGCATACAAGACTTTTGGTTGATTTCTTACCACACCTTCATACCCTCCCCTGCTTTCCCTCTGAGGTTTGATGGTCTGTTCAATGCTTCTGTGTCTCTGGATCTATTTTTGTTCATCAGTTTATGTTGTTCATTATATTTCACAAATGAGGGAGATCATGTCATACTTACCTTTCTCTGGCTGGCTTATTTTGCTTAGCATAATACTCTCCAGGCCCATTCATGTTTTTGCAAGTGATAAGAGTTCTTTCTTTTTTACAGCAGCGTAGTATTCCATTGTGTAGATGCACCACAGTTTTTTAATCCACTTATCTGCTGATGGGCACTTAGGCTATTTCCAAATCTTAGCTATTGTAAATTGTGCTGTTATGAACATAGGAGTGCATATATACTTTCTGATTGGCATTTCTGATTTCTTAGGATATATTCCTTGAAGTGGGAGTACTGGGTCAAGTGGGAATTCCATTTATAATTTCTTTGAGGGAACTCCATACAGTTTTTCACAGTTTCTGCACAAGTCTGCATTCCCACCAGCAGTGTATGATGGTTCCCTTTTCTCCACATCCTCACCAGGACTTGTCATCTGTCGATTTGTTGATGATAGCCATTCTGTCTGTTACCACAATTACCTACCTGACTAAGGGCTAGATGTGTATCTAAAATTGAATAAAAGGTTGGCAAGGCCTGGGCACAAGTGGAAGTCCTTCCCCTTGCGTTGGGCTTCCCGCCTGGCCCCCAATATTTCCAAATTATTATTTCTTGTCTGATCTCTCTCATTGTGCGCGGCCCTTCTCCAAATCCCGAACCCTGAACCAGGCAGGACATGGCTCGCACATCTGGCGCCTCAACAAGGGACATCTGGAGGCGATGTCTAGAGCAAAAAACGAAGTTTCACCAGCAAGGTGGGGAAAATTCACCGTAAAGGTGATGAAAATTCACTGCAAGCAAAGCCCACGGTCAGCTGCAGAAATCACGATCTGTAAGTAGGTGGAAACGTCTTTTTTCAGCCAGGCTAATGGGGCAGAATTTGGTTAAAAAGTAAAAAATTTATTGTAGACTTTTGGCTTGCATGCTTAAGAATAAGGGAATTAAAGTGTCAGAAGGTATTCTCTTACAGTTTTTGCATGTTATTATAGAACATAACCCTTGGTTTCCTGAAGAAGGTACATTAGATCTTGAATGTTGGGAAAGAGTGGGTCAGAACTTGAAAAAAGCTCAGCAGCAGGAGATATTTTAATTTACCAATTAGCTTATGAAAATGCCAATGCTGATTGTAAGAAATGCCTGACGCCTCTGAGAAAAAAATAGTACCATTACAGAAATGATTCGAGCATGTCAGAACGTGGGGTCAAGCAAATTTACTCGCTGCCGCTGTAACAGTGGGGAATAAAAGGTGTTATAATTGTGGAGAACGAGGACATGTTAAAAAAGAATGTAGGCAACCAAGAAGGACACAAGGTGGTGCTCCAGGGAAAGGCATGAGCATTCTGCCTCCAGATTCAATCAATGCAGCTTCAACCTCTTTTATGTCCTAGATATTAAAAAGGAAATTATTGGGTACTTATCTATTAATTATTATCTGTCTTTGTTGTTTATTAAGCATGACTTTAATTTAATAAGAAAGAAATGATAGGTGGCCAGGCCATTGCTGAGTTTCCCCAGAATAAACAGAATGCGGGAATGGGGAGAGAGAGAATAGGAGCAGTACACATGGCCAATAATACAGGTTCTAGGAAAATTCCCTAGAAAAAGGGAAATAATTAAAAAATTACTAGGTCTTTTGGCGATCCTGTAAAATAGGCGCCCACTCGAGAGTGTTATTAAAAGTCTCATTTTTGCCATGTTTTTATTTCACAGTCCATCATTTAAAATTTAGACAAATGAAACATTTCCCAGAATTTAGGGATGCATCTGGGATTTTGGTACCCATGAATAGAAAAGCAAGCTTAAGAAAACGCGCATGCTCTGCCTGATTTTGGGTGACTTCTTGAGCCCCAATCTTTTCACGGATGCTACAGAATAAATAAGACTTTTTTCTTTAAAAAGATAGCAAAAAATGACACAAAGAAAATATACAGGCTGTATTTGGACAATAGGATTAATGTTTCCATAATAATGATAGTTCTTGAATAATAATGTACCCCATTCCAAGGCCGACTCCCAAATCTTGGAGGCACTCCTGTTTTTATAAAATAACATAAAAATAAAAGTCAATAAGTTAGCTCTGTTATAAAATTTGCAAAAGAAAATGCCTTGGATTGTAATTGGCTTTGAGATCTTAAAGTTGTTAGAACATAAATAATAAAAATAACTAAAATAAAGAATATCTAAAATAAAGTAAAGCTTTTCAGTAATAATATATTAATGGTAAAGGGCCAGTAGCTCTTCTCCCTGTAAAAGCGGAGAAGCCGGTGGCAGCAACAGAAACCTTACATGTTATCTCTAAAGAAAAATGTGGTGGTTTAAAAATTTCCCCTCCCCTTACCTTTTTGCCAGAAACGTAGTTTTCCAAAGCCTTCTGTAACTTAAGACTTTAGAACATTGCTGAATTAAATAATAAAAATTATTAGATACCTAGGTATTTTAAAATAACAAGATACTAAAATATTAATCTAAATTTGCCTCATATGAAAAATCTAGAGGATAGAATTGAATCTATTAATTAAATATGCCTTGTATTTTATTTGAATACATCCTTAAAAATGTAAAAGTATTACTAATTTAAGAAATACTAAGTATTTAACTTGCCACCTAAAACAATTAAAGCTTCTAAGAATTTAAATTAAATTGGGAGAAATTATATAGTTGTGTTAACAAAATACATTAAGTTTAGAAATTCATTTTTGAGAAAAATAATTCTGATATTTTCCCTGAAGAAATTAATAGTTCAAAATATATTGTAGTCCGTGTGATAAAATTTCAGCCTAAAATATAAGATTTAATATGGTCTAATTAAAAAAGGATTAATTCGCGGCTGGTTTGATTCATCCATTTTGAAGAGACGGGGGAACGGGGGCTTCGTCTGATTACCGGCCTCTGAACCGAGGAGCGGCGTTGTTTGAGAAGCCAGCAGCTCGGGGTTCTGCGGTATCGGCCCCCTCGGCCAAAGTTGGGGGGGGTGGGGCGCCGAGC